CTGTGGGTAGAATACTCACCCTCAAAGACCTTGCTGTCCCTGGGAGATACTTGGACATCACCTGCCTGGGAGGTGTACTATCCAGAGCCACACTATTGTCTAGAAATCAAAGGCTCAGGCAAGGGGCACCTCCTCCTGCCAGTCCCTGCCAACATCTGTGCTCCTGACCGAAGGAAGAAACAAAAGATGGAGACAGAGGGACCGAGGCTCCATACCTTCACACTATTTTTCACCAGGCTGGGAAGTAAAAATGACCCTGCTACAGTTGGTGATGAAAGGGACAAAGATATAGCTCTGCAAAGCCACCCTCAGCAGCCAGAGGAACACCACTAGACTTTCAGAGACCTCATTTCAGACTTTCAGAGACCTCATTTCAGGCTAAAACAGGAGTCCTGGCTTCAGCACTCATCAGATTTTCAGGACTGGTCAGTTTATGAAGCAGCATTGGAAGTTTTGTTGAAGATATTTTAATTTAGGCTTAAGCACAAGGCTGAAGAGAGAAAGAGCAGCGCTCAGAGCGAAGCAAGACATACCCGGATGCACAGGTATGGTGAAGTCACAAGAAATAAGACACACCCAAGTGTAAGGGTGGGGCTTCTCATAAGGCTCAACTAACTGTCTTAGCATTAACTAAAACCATCTAGGTGGTTCTCAAGTTACATCCTAGATGATTATGAAATTTTATTTTATTTTTATTTCTCCATTTTCTCTCCCTTTTAAAAAGAGAGATGACAGTCTTTTTAGTGCTGTGGATGGGTTTATAATCTGATAAAGTAAAGCCAGGAGTCACTGAGGTTACATTGCAAGGGGTGTAGTACATATGCTGTCTCTGTTAAAAGGGGTTTCTGCTGAGATCCCTAGAAAGTTTCAGGATTACAGCTCCGAAGGGATGAAGGCCTTAAAGAGTTAACTGTGCTGGAATTGTCCTGTGAGTAGGAGGCTTCAGCCAGACTCCAGGGTGAAGGACTCCTCTCAGTTCTCATCCTCCCAGGAGTTTCCCTGTCTTCTATTCTGCCTCACTTAGGGGAAAGGACTGATGAGCTGAGTGTCGGAGAGGACAAAGGATAGCCGTCACTCTTATACACTGTTGGCTTGAGATACAAATGACATGACCGCTTTGGAGAACTCCCAGCACTTATCAAAGCCAAACATACTCCTGCCTTGTAATTCAGCCACTCCACTCTGACACTCACACGTTCCTATAGAAACACACTCACACGCTCACCAAAACACATGTTCTAGAATATTCACAGCAGCTTCATTTGTGATAACCCAAATGGAAAACAGAGGAATGTACAGATTATGTCATCATTTGTAACGCTTTGAACAAGAACGGCCCCCACAAGGTCATGTATTGGAAGGCTTGGCTCCCAGCTGGTGGAGCTGTTTAAGAAGGATTAGAAGGTGTGGCTTTGTTGAGGAGGTGTGCCACTGGGGCAGGGCTTTGAAGTTTCAAGAGCCCATGCTCTCTTCCCAGGTAGCTCTCTCTGCCTCATGCTTGTGAATCAGATGTGAGCTCTCAGCTACTGCTCTAATGCCATGCCTGCCTGCCAGCCTGCCTGCTGCCATACACCCCACGATAAATTAAATGCCTTCTTTGTAAGTTGTCTTGGTCATGGTGTCTCTTCGTGGCAGTAGAACAGTAACGAAGACATTCCTACACAGAAATATGTGTAGTGATGCCATCAAGCCATCTATGACAACTTGGCACAAACACAATGAATCTCTCAAAAGTAACAGCAGATGAGAGGGACAACTGTAAGGGGGACCCACTCTGTGATTTCTTGACTGCAGAAGCCACATGACAAGCTGCCTCCTCAAGGTCCTGCTGCCCTGACTTTTCTTCACTCCATGGCCTTTTCAGCCCTACAATATCCAGAGTCACAAGCTAAACTAACCTATGTGGGAAAAGGGCAAAGCTCTGGGCAGGGGCATACGGAGGGGGCTTTCTGAGAGTGTGAATTGGGTGTTACATGCACAGTAAGAATGTTTCCTAGATGTAGAATTTACCTTAATAATTTTTTAACCAGGCATATTGGCACAGTGTAATCCCAGCACTTAAGAAGCTGAGGAAGGAGAATCTTGAGTTTGAGGTCAGCCTGGGTTACAGACATTTTTTTTTAAACCAACAAGTTGCTTTCAAGTGGCTCTGACTTTAGAAGAATGTTAAAGGTATGTTGTGACAGTTAATATTGATTATCAGCTTAATGGGATCACACTCTGAGCATGTCTGGGAGGGGTTCTCTTCATTAGGTTAACAGAGATGAGAAGTCCCACTCTAAGTGGGCAGCACCATCCCCTAGGCTAGGGTCTTCCTACTTTATAAAAAGCAGGAAGCTAGGCAAGCACAAGCACTTGTCATCGTGTTTCTTGACAGAAAAAGTCACATGACCCCTTTACTCCATGTTTTCTCCAGCCCCACAATATCCATTCGGGGACAAGTCTCACTAAATCTACTTCTAAAATACCTCTTTAATCCTCTTTTCCCAACTCAACTGCCTCCTCCTTTAGCCACTGTAAGTGTCCAAACCAGCCACCGTAGCTCCTGTCCTCCTCCCTCGCACCCCCTTCCTCCTTCCCCCACTTTATGCCCCTTGTAACACCATTCATTCATGAAGGGGTTTTCCTTCACTCTTCCCCAACCCACTCTCTCTGCTCCAACCCCATCTATCTCTTCACTAAGACTCCAAAATAGCAGCAAGTGTCTTTCCGGGATTTATGCAAATACAGCAGCAGGAACATGCGAATTTCTGTCTTTTCTAACCCAAAGAGGACACACGTGATTGCTGTCCTCACTCACGATGTAAGGTGTCTACTGTAAAGAGAGGGACAGTAACTCTTCCGAAGAGTGGCCGTTCTTGGTCCTTTATGATTTCAAATGACACAGCTACTTTTTATTTCAATTACTTTTTTTTTCTTGTTTGTTTGGGTTTTTTTGTTTTTGTTTTGTTTGTTTGTTTTGTTTTGTTAAGACAGGGTTTCTCTGTGTAGCTTTGGCTGTCCTGGAACTCATTTAGTAGACCAGGCTGGACTTGAACTCACAGAAATTCTCCTGCCTCTGCCTCCTGTGTGCTAGGATTAAAGGTGTTCCTCACCACTATCCTGCTCAGTTATTTCTAGTAAACAGTTCAGGACAAATACCCAGAACTGTACCCACTACTGCCGGGCAGTGCCAAGTGTGTCTTCTTACATAAGGTGGCAGCGTTTGTTTCTACAAAGTCTCAAAAAAAGAAACAATGAGAACTTGTTCCCAACCTTTGGATTCTGGCCAGTTTCATCAAAAAATATTGGTATAGTTTGAATTTGCATTTCTAATGAAACTGGGTGGAGCATCTTTCCTATGCTTAGGGGGTCATGGTGCCTCTTTCCTGGTGAATGGCCATGTCCTTTGTCCACATTCTCACTCAGTTGCAGACCTTTTTGATTTATATATTCTAAGGCATACATGTGAAGGCTCTCTTTTTGCCAGGATGCCAAAAGAAATCTCATTTTCACTATACTTATTTGTACATGTATACATGTTTGTGTGTGTGTGTGTTTGTGTGTGTGTGTGTGTGTGTACATGTGCGTGGATATGCATGCATGACACAGGTAATCTCAAGTGTCAACCTGATGAGATCTAGAACCATTCAGGAGCCAGGCATTTGGGCATGTCTGTGGGTGGATTCTCTTCAGTTGTTAATTAAAGTGCGAAGAGTCACCTCCTATGTGTGACACCATTCCCTGGCTTGTATGCCTTGGAGATGTCTTCACGTATACTGACCTACAGTGACACAACTTACTCATTTGAGCACAAAGTATGGTCTACCTTCCCTTCAAATGAGAGCCTCATAATGTGCTAGCTGCTTCCATGAGACAACTTCACTTCAAAGCATCATCCAGTGTCCCGCTACACCCTAAGAGGGACCTCCACATAATTAACTGCTCAACATCTGAGGTTCACTGAAACAAAGCCAGACCTGAGTTCTGGAGCTAGTGAAGAATATGTAGAGGCCAGAAAGACACATAAACTGGACTTCCACCCACCCAGGGGATCTAGGTGTTTCCTAGGACTAGCTGTCCCTCACCAGCCCCTTTCACTTTGCTACAAAACACAGTCTGTGTCCTTGTTACGTCATCAGTGCCACACCTCTTGCTCAAGTGTTCTCACTCTCTCTCCTCACACACATACACACATAGAAACACACACACAGATAAGTAGGGGAGGGCCTCTCAGGATCAAAGGATTTACTTAACTGCAGATAAGTAAACAGTCCAAGTTAGGTCAGGGTACCCCAGCTAGTGATTTTGGGAATCTCAGTGCTAAACGAGCCTCTTCCAACTGTTCATCAACATACACAGAGCTGTCTGGGCACCAAAGGCAAATAGCCTAGGTTTAATGCCAACTATGGTTCCTGGCATTGTCCTGCATGGATAAGGCTTGAAGAACCAGACCCTTTGTCCCCCTCAAACCAAAACCAATACAAGAGAATTAAATGGCTAGCCATATATGTGATTTAAAGTTTTCTAAGTTTAGAGGAAACAGGTGGATCATTTAAACAGTTTACTTAGCCAAGTATATTAAAAATGGTCATTTAAACATGTAAGCAACATAATGAAATATTTTAAAGTAACTTTTCCATTTATTTACGTTTAGGGTGGAGCGCTGATAGAAGCAACTTGCAGTGGCCGCTGTTCTTCTACCATATGGGTCCCAAGGATTGAACTCAGGTAACTGGTAGTGAGCGCCTTTACCTATGGAGCCATCTCACCGGCCTAACATATTGCAATATTAATAAGAAAGTCTACACTTTTTGAGTCTGTATTGTACTTGCAGATTAACCAACTGCTTCCAAAGCACAGCTCCAACTCATAAAGGCCTGGAACCAACTCAACCTTCCCTACTTGGTTCCTAGCCAGCCTAAGGGGTGGGGCTAGCGCGTGAGAAGGCGGGGCTAGCGCGAATGCCCCGCCCCCGGTAGCGGCACAGCCTGGCACCCCCCTACGTTGAGCTCACTAACCTCGCCACCGCCTCCACAGAGCCTGCAATAGCGGCTCCGCCGCCTGCGCCGCTGTCATACAGCACGCCAGAGATGTCAAGCAGCACTCCTCGCACGCCAGTTAGCCGCTCGGCCCACACGGCCATCGCGTCCAGCTGTACACCCGAACCCGGCGTTGCTGCTGCCCGTATCCTGCAGCCACGCCTCCCGCGCGGGGCTACTGGGAAATGTAGTCCGCGGTCGGCGGGCCGGGTGCAAACTGGGAACCACGTGGACCAGCTTGGCTGCCTGGAGAAGCAGTGAGAACGTCCCTCGGAAGGAGTTCAAACCCCTAAGAATCAGAACGAGACAAATTGAAAAGAAAAGTAAAACAGTCCAGGACGGATGGCTCTCATCTGTAATCCCCAGCAGGACTGAGAGTCAAAGGCCAGGCTCAGCAAGATGACACAAGCAGGTCAAGGTGTTTGCCACAAAACCTAACAACTTGAATTCGATTCCCAGGACCCTTACGATAGCAGGAGAAAACCTATTCCTGCACATATTGTCCCCAGAGCTCCCCATAAATGCACACACACGCACACACACACACACAAATTAAATAAATGAATGTTTAAGTGTTGGAGACTAGTCTGGTCTCAATAGTGAGGTTCTGTCTCAAAAGTGGAAGTGAGAGGGAGAGATCTTGCAGGCAGTTAAATAGATGGCACAATCCCATTTTTTTGGAAACACACTAAAGAAACGAGTGCACACAGAATGACTGCGGTGTAAATAAATGATAATGCCAAGACAAGCTGAAGAAAATTAATGTAGAGTGTACAGATGGCATATCAGAGATGCTGAAAGAAATGTGCTGAAAGAAAAACCAGCCAGGGAGTAGTGGCAGAAGCAAGTGGAGCTCTCTGACTTTGAGGCCAGCCTGGTATGAGTTCCAGGACAGCCTGGGCTGCACAG